CTTTCTTTTTTTTTTCACTTTCTAAGAAAAAAAACATTTATCATTTATAGGCCAAAGGAAATGCTTCCACAGCCATTTTTTATGTATTATTTGGCAGTCTCAGTTCAAGGTCAAAAATATCAGAGGGAAAAGGGAATATGACTCTAGATTTAGTATTTGTCATGTCGGGCTTTGTAATTGCATAAATATTAAAAATGTAGAAATAATTGTAAGCACATTATCTTCGCATCTCCACACGTTGCTTTAATTTTTAATGTAATCTTTCATCTGCCTTTTCCTCAGCTGGCTGTGGGTTTGTGATTTGCATAGCTAGAATGATCTGGTGCCATCAATTTAGTAATGAAGTCACTCATTGAGCAGAAGAGATTTCTAAAGATTAAACAAAGCTTTCTACAGATGTTGCCTGGGGTTAGTCTGGTAGGCTGGATTACTCAGTATCTACCTTCTTTTCATGGTGGCTTTCACATTGCAGAGGCTGGAAGCTTAAAATATTTCCTAGACTTCTTTGTACCAGTTTATTTGCTGTTTGACTCATTCCCTCTCCCAGCTTTGTTTCTTGGGAGGACAGGCACAGTGAGGTGGCGATTATGTCAACAATATCAAGATTCTCTTGAGTAGGTGAATAATTTCAGGATCTGTGAAGGATCCAGCCTGTTACTGTTTCGTAGATGCCTGGAGAGGCCTTTGGCTGGCTCTCTGCTCCCACGCTGTACCAGGATGTCACCAAAAGGAAAGAAGGAAAAGATGAGCCCAAATGGAATTCAAAAATTTCTTCTCTTTTCTTCCATCCCTTCACTGAGTACCTTTCCATGGCATGGTGAAGCTGGGCGCTCCAGGATAGAAAACCTGGGCAGTAGAACAGAGAGGGTCCCTGTGGAACGTGGGTCACACAAGCCTCCTGAGGTCTTCCTCCCATTTCTTATTCTTAACAAGAGTTTTACTGAGCACTAGATGGAAGCCATTTTATTGCATGGTCCTTCAAGAAATCACTACCTGGTCAGGAGTCTTTCTCACCTCTGAGGTTGTTGGTTATGTGTTTACCTGTCCTTTTTCCCTGTGGCATGGGGTTTCCTGTCAAAAGTGGTGGTCCTGTGGGGCCAGGGATTTAGCTCAGTGGTTCCACTCCCTGCCTTGCAAGTACAAGGACCAGAGTTCAATCCCTGGTATCAAAAAAAAAAAAAAATTAACAACAACAACAAAAAAAAGTGGTGGTTTTATGGACTGGGGATTTAGCTCAGTGGTGCCACCACCTGCCTCGAAAGCCCAAGGTCTTGAGGTCCATCCCCAGTACCACACCCCCTACCCCCAAAAAAGTGGTGGTTTCAGGATACAGGGCTCCAAACCCACCTGGTGCCCTCTTTTTTTATGTGGTGCTAGGATTGCCTTCTGTGTAAATTCACTTGGCAGAATGTTTTTGTGAGTCCTAGTCACAGTTGTATTCATGGCTGAGTTACAGGGCCAAGACATCAAGTGGTCCCCATGCTAACATGCTAACATTACATATACTCTTTCCAGGTGGATCGTTTACCGCCAAATCATGGATAGCTCGGAATGTTTTCATGCTGCGCACTTTCAGAAATACCTTTCCAGCGCTCTGGAGGCCCAACAGAACCGTTCTGCCCGCCAGTCAGCCTACATCCGCAAGAAGACCAGACTGTTGGTGGTATTACAAGGGTGAGCATTGAAAATCTGAGGATGAGCTAGCTGGGGTCATGAGTTTGCTGTTACTATTAGTTCATGTGTGGCAAACCTGGGGCCCAGAACAAACTCCACATGTGTGTAAGTAGTGTCTGCACTATGCAGACAGGCCTTGAGCCAGCAAGGACTCTGTTGCCATACTGTGGCCTAGAGTGACTGGTGTAGCTACACACAAGTTTAAAGCTTGACTTAAACATAATATCCCCCAAGAGGTAAGGAGTTTATGGAATCTAGGTAAGGTTCTCTGATAATTCTTAGAACAGTGATCCCTAAACCACTTCCTTCACCATCTAGAAGGAAAGGGGCCTCATCTTTTTACTCCTCCTGTAGAATTGCACAGGTGGCCCCCACCCTCTGCTGTCTCCAGCCCACCCCCTATTCCCTGGATAGCTGTCCCAGGGGCTTCCTGGGGCTTCCAGTGAGGAGCAACCCTAGTCAGTTGGAGAAGAAGCTTCACCTTTGTAACTGGTACAGGACCATTATTGGAAGCTACCTAGCTCTTGAAGTTCCTGTGTCATGGACAGGCATGCATTATGGGAATGCAGATTTGACAAAACATGTCCCTCTGCTCTGGAGGACCGTGGAGGAGAGGAGCTTCCCTTGACCTGTTCTTGGGCCTTCCAGGGAGAAGCCCCTGAAAGGTCCCCATCACCTGGGCTCAGAGGAGAACATGCCAAATCAGGAAAACATGTGCTGTGCTTTTCACTAGTGTCAGTATGGTTAGTAATAAAGAAGTTTTGGGCAGTTCTCACAAAGTACTTTTGTGTTGTGCTGCATTTCTTATGCATGCTCATGCTCATAATTAGTCTTTGCAATAGGCTAGTTATTTCCAGTAAAGAATAGGCCTGGATCCAAAGCTCTGTTTGGCTCCTGGCTGTGATGGGAATTGGAGGGAGCTGGGATAGTAGAGGAAGGTGGCAGGTGGGACCCTGCATCCTCAGGGCCATCATACACAGGCAGACCTTGTTCTCACACTCGCTGCCAATATGCATTCTGTCAGCCCTCTTGTCTTGCTTGTGGGGCCATATCATGGAAGCCACAAAGGAGGAGAGTCTGGGCTTGAAACCACGTATTTTCTTCTGGTTTTCCATTGCTTCCATTGGTCAAAGGAATGGGTCACCTGGCCCCAGAACTTTTGCCCCTGCCCTGCCAGATTAGAGAGTCACTGGGAATGTGGATCTGGAAGGGAATTTGGAGGCTTCCCAATGTGCACTTAAGGTCATTTCTGTCCTTCCCCATTTAAGAAAGCATTGTAGGGGCTGGGGATTTAGCTCAGTGGTTCCACCACCTGCCTTGCAAGCGTAAGGACCTGAGTTCAATCCCCGGTACCAAAAAAAAAAAAAAATAGACTCCTAAGTCCTTTGGACCGGGGATTTAGCTCAGTGGTTCTGCCACCTGCCTTGAAAGTGCAAGGACCTGAGTTCGATCCCCGGTACCAAAAAAAAAAAAAAAATGCATCATAGACTCCTTGTCTCTGGCTTTTCAAATCTGCGTGTCAGCTGTCCTAGATGCTTCTAGACTGCAGTGGCAGTATTCAGGCAAGCCACTCTTGCAGTATAGATCCACCCTTTGTCCAGTCACACCCCCAGGACACAAGTGACCCCAGTAATTTCCTGGAGAACTCAAGTCAGAATACTATCTAAATGCTGTTGCTCTTTACTGAGGTACTGTCTCTTACTGGTTGGACCCAGCAAGAAACATGTAGCAACCTACTTTATAGCATGTCCATCTCCTTGCAGCTGGACCCTCACACCCATTATTGAGATTGCTGGTAAAGGAAGATCCCAAGGACTTCTCAAATTGATTTTATTTCTTTAATACATTATATTTTTATTAATACTTCTTAATTTCACAAAACACTGGGTTTCAGTGTGGTATTTTCTTTTCATTTCTTTTTTTTTTTTTTTTGGTACCAGGGATCAAACTCAGGACCTTGCACTTATAAGGCAGGCAGCAGAACCACTGAGCTAAATACCTGACCCTCAGTATGGTATTTTCATACATGCATGTGACATACTTTGATCATGAGAACTTTATTTCTTGAATAATTTATATTTTCTTTTTCTTCCTTTGGCTTGAGACAGGATTACACTATGTAGTTCAGACTAGTCTTAAATTCATTATGTAGCCCAGGCTGGCCTTGAACTCATGGTGATCCTTCTACCTCCAGAGGTCTGGGATTACAGGCATTCACCACCACACTTGGCTATTATATTTTTATTTATAGAATTTTTTAATAGAATTTTATGGAATGAAACCTGTGATATAGGGCAGAGTTCCCTTTGGATCCTAGAGTGACCTGGTCCCATTTAATTTAGTGTAGTGCTGTAGTAGAGGCAGGGGTATTGAACTTTAACATCAAGTAAAGCTGTTATCAAAGTTGTTTCAAAAACCAAAATAACAACTGTGTGGTGGCACACAGCTGTAGTGCCATCACTGTGGGGGGCTGAGGCAGAAAAATCAAAAGTTTGAGCCCAACCTGGGCAATTTAACAACTTTGTGAGACCCTGTCCCAAAATTTAAGAGATGGGAGCCAGGCGTGGTGGCACATGCCTATAATCCCAGCCAGCACTCTGGAGGCTGAGGCAGGAGGATTGCTGAGTTCAAGGCCAGCCTGGGCTCCATAGTGAGTTCAAGACCATCTGAACGACATAGTAAGACCTTGTCTCAAAAAAACAAAGAAGCAAAAAATAGAATTAGTGTAATTTAAACATCTTTTTTTTTTTTTTGGAGACAGTTTAGGCTGTCCTTGAAATGAGGTCAGGTAGGGGGCAAGTGAAGGAAGTGGATGTGGTTATATAAGAGCAACATAAGAGATCTTTGTGGCCTTGGAACTATTTGGCATCTTGATAGTAGTGGTGCATATGGAACCTACAGAGATGATAAAATTGTGTCTTAGTTACTTTTCTCATTGCTGAGACAAAATACCCAACACCCAAAATTAAAGGAGGAAAGGGGTTTTTTTGGCTCACCATTTGTAGATCTTTCAGTCCATAATAGCTGGCTCCAAAGCAAGGTGGCATGGTGGAGGGGCCTCACAGAGGAGAAGTAGTCATGGCAGGTAGAAGGCAACAAAACAGTGAAGTAGTGAAGCAGCAGCCCTCTTTCTGCCCCTTATATTCTATCCAGGCTACACGCCTTTAGAGTGGATAGCACTCACACCCATGTGGGCTTTCCCATTATGCACACCGAGAACTATGCCAAACCAATCAGTGGACTAATTTAGTAATCATACACTCTTGATCCCAGCATCACACAGTCTAGATCCAGCCACCTCTGAAAAGCCCCACCTGTAACCACATGAGGCTTTCGGGAGACATCTAAACGAAAGCCATGACAAGTGGTATAGAACATAATTTACAAATACAGTATAAATAAAACCATGAAACGTGAATTTTTATTTTTATTTATTTATTTATTTAATTTTTTTTGGTACTGGGGATCGAATTCAGGTCCTTGCGCTTGTGAGGCAGGCAGTGAAACACTGAGCTAAATCCCCGGCCCAAAACTTGAATTTTTAAAAAATTAATTTTAAGAAAGTTGAAGGCTATATTTGGATAGGGAATGTTATAAAGTTATTATTTACAATTATCTATATTAAAAACAAAGTATCTCAAAGCAAAAAATTAATGTAAAACATGGCCGGTCACATTGTAAACTTAAAGTGCAAGCATAAAACAGCCCAGCCAGGCGTGGTGGTGCACACCTATAATCCCAGCATTTGGGAGGCTGAGACAAGGAAAATCACTAAGAGGCCAGCCTGGGCTACATAGTGAGTTTCAAGATCAGTTTCAACTGGGGATTTAGCTCAGTGTGCCACTGCCTGCCTCACAGGCACAAGGACTGGAGTTCAATCCCCGGTACCAAAAAAATAAGAAAAAGACCAGTTTCAAGAGGTGAACTACATACATAGTGAGACTCTGTCTCCAAAAACAAACCCAACAACAACAACAAGAGCCCAGAGGATGCTTGACTATCTTTTGTGTCAAAGGAAAATTAAGTCCTTCTGAGTTTTGTTTTAATGTGTTGGGTTTTGTTTGTTGTTTTTGTTGTTATTGTTTTCAGTACTGGGGATTAAACCTAGGGCCAGCCTTTTTAATTTTTTGAGATACAGTCTCTCCGGAGATTAGCTCAGTGGCACTGCACCTGCCTCACAACCACAAGGTTCTGAGTTCAATCCCTGGTACCAAAAAAAAAGAGAGAGAGAGATACAGTCTCACAGAGTTGCCTAGGCTAAGCTCCAACATTCAATCTCCCTGCCTCAGCCTCCCAATATGCTGAGTTAACAGGCATATACCACACTGCCACACTGACTTGTGTTGTTATTTGTTTGTGTTTGTTTGTTTGTTTGGAAACAAAGTCACTATGTAATTCAGGTTGGTTTTGAACTCACTGTGTAGCCCAGGCTGGCCTCAAATGTGATGATCCTCCTGCCTGGCCTCCCCAGTGCTGGGATTACAGGCATGCATACACCACCACGCCCAGTTTTTTTGTTTTTTTTTGTTTTGTTTTTTGGTACCGGGGATCGAACTCGGGTCCTTGTGCTTGTGAGGCAGGCAGAGGAACCACTGAGCTAAATCCCCAGCCTGTGTTGTTATTTCTAATGAAGAGAATACTGGCAAGAAAGAAGCAAACAAAGAGCAAGTTTTTAACTTTCATTCTGCAGTTGGGACACTTTAGCCGAAGAAATCTGGTCCAAACTCTACAGCTTGAGCCTGGGCTTCCTTCTGTAGCCAGGGATTCTCTAGTCTGAAAGCCATTCCCAGGTGGATTATTAGGAGTGCCAGGGGAAGGAGGAAACAGGATTCCTGAATGAGGAGGTGAAAGGTTAGGGCCTTCTTTTTTGGAGCAGTGCACAGATGCACAGACCTCACAAAGGAGCCTTGGACCAGTTTTTCTCTCCAGCCTTTGCCATTGAAATCAGTGAAGGTTAATTGAATGCTCTGAATACCTGGAAATTCCTAGCTACGATCTCTAAGTAAAATCCAGTTGTATTAAAATGACTAGAATCCTTGCAATTAATGAGTCTACTGCTTATATTGAACTTGGAAAATCAAAGGCCTCCAATCACTTATGATGGGAGTTAAATCCATTAAAAATGTCTACAGGGCTGGGGATTTAGCTCAGTGGTTCCGCTGCCTGCCTTACAAGCACAAGGACCTGAGTTCGATCCTGGTACCAAAAAAAAAAATGTCTACAAAGAGCTTTGGAGCAACGTCCAAGCATTGGTCCCACTTAACAGGTGTTCTGCTGTGCAGCCTGGCAGCACCTGCAGCTTGTGAGGCTCTCCAGGCCCAACCAGGCAATGCTGTGGGAAGAGCCCCATGTGGCCACACACAGGCCAGGCAGGGAGAGAAGCCAGGGAGCAGAGGTGTCCCTCTGAAGGTCCCTGTACGCCAGGCCGGGTGAGGGAGCTCTGCCTGCTACCTGAGCTCCACTAGTTAGGAGGACAGGCCAGACCTGGTAAGAGGGTAAGGGCTGTTGTGGTCTGGATTAAAGCCAAGGGCCTTCCACAGATGATTTGTTTGTAAGGACTTGAGAAATGGCTCAGGAAGCCAGGACTGTAGCAGCAACCCCTGCTGCCCTCCCAACGTCCAGGACAGACCCAGGCTCATCCCATCTGCAAGGCTGATCATGAAGTTTGACTTGCCCTCATAGAACTAGGCCTTTTGGTGATAGGTCAGTCGGGACAACACTGTTCTCTTCTACTAGATGAAGCAGTTCTGTCTCTAGTTAGAGTAGCCAAGGGCCTGCTGGGGATCGAACATCTCCCCTACTCGAGGCACCAGAGACACAGCACTCAGCAACTACCTCACATTTGTACTGTGGAGAGTCAATAAACAAATGAGAAAACACACAAAAAAAATATAAGGAAAGAAGAAAAGAAAAAGAAAAAAAATGAGAAAAGACAACAGATGAAAAAGACACATAAGATAAAAGAAAAGATAAAGGGCCAGGGATTTAGTTCAGTGGTTCCGCCGCATGACTTGCAAGCACAAGGTCCCGAGTTTGATCCCCAGTACCAAGAAAAAAAGAAAGATAGGATGTGTAGCTGATGATCAATGCTTTGGAGACAAATTTCGGGGAGGAGGCAGAGCAGGGAAGGCTGTCAGATGATACAGCATATTTGAGGCCAGAGGATGCCTTTCCCTTGAGATGCCACTTGATGTAGCTCAGTGGTAGAGCACTTGCCTATCATACATGGGCCCTGGGTTTGATGCTGAGCACCACAAAAACAGTGATCAAAAAAATACCACTTGAGCAGAGACCCCAAGGGAGATAGAGAGTAAGCCATACAGGTATCAGAAGAAAAGAACATTCCAGACAGAGAGTACAAAGGTAGAAGTTGCTGAGCATGGTGGTACACACCTGTAATCCCAGCACTCAGGAGGCTGAAGCAGGAACATCACTAGGAGTCCAAGGTCAGCCTGGGCTACATAGTAAGTTCAAGGCCAGACCAAACTACATAGTGAGACTGTCTCAAAAAAAAAAAAAAGGTAGAAATATGCCTGGCATGTTCAAGGAAGAGCCAGGAGGTCAAAGTGGTTGGATTAGGAGAAAGAACAGGATGATAGATGAAATTCTTCCCTGCCTCGGGGGATCATATTCCAAGGGCTCCCTGGTCCATTGTAAGGGTTTTGGCCTTCACACTGAGATGGAAGCCACTGGAGGGTTTGAGCAGAGCAATGATCATCTGACCAAGGGTTTAGTGTATCCCTGTGGCTTCTGGATTGAGAACAGATTAGAGAGAGGCAAAGACAGAAATAAGAGAGCCAGTTGGGAGGCTATTGGAGTGCCCTAGGCAAGAAATGGTAGCAGCTTGGACCCAGCGATAGTGGGGGAAGTGTGAACAGTGGTCTTTCTAGCTTTATGTTGAAGACAGAAAAAAATGGAATTAATGAAGACTCCAAACAAGATTTTTGGCATAGCATCTGAAAAAGTATTGTCTGCCCTGTTAAGAAAAACAAAGCCATGGAAGGAGCAGGCTTGTGGACATTTGATTGTGAACATTCTAGGTTCTAAGTGAAGATATCAAATTGGCCCTGTAAATCTGGAGTTCCAGGCAGAAGATAGGAATGTGAGTGGTATTTGACATGTGTCTACTGAGTTTCACAGCTCTGGTACTGCTGGGAGGTAAGGAGAAAACAGAGATAGAAAGGAAAATAGACACCAGTAGGACCTCCTATCTTGGAAAACAGGCCAAGGACACTGAGTCCCATCCTCAGAGCTCCAGAGTTACCTGCAGGTGTCCTACCTCTAGGGTAGGCTGCCTTTTCTATTCACTTATGCACAGTTTTGAGAACTAACAGAACTTAGAAATGCAGAAGTACTTTTTGGTTCCCAGGGCCTTGAAATCACACCAAAAACCCAATCACATGGGCCAGGCATGGTGGCACACACCTGTAATCCCAGCACTTGGGAGGATAAAACAGGAGGATCACTGCAAGTTCAAGACTAGTCTGGGCTACACAGCAAGTTCAAGGCCAGCCTGAAGTACATGGCAAGACCCTGTCTCAGAGACAGACAGAGACAGAGACAGAAACAGAGAAAACAAACCCACCCACCCAATTGCAGGCTCTTTCTCCTTTTGATCTTCCTTTTGTCCTTGCTCACTCAACCACTTACTGCTCCCCTCTTCCCCCACTTTGCAGCCCCAGCCAGTAGATTAATCATTCTCTCTTCTCCTCAGCTACACAGATGTTATTGATGTTGTTCAGGCACTGCAGACCCATCCAGATGCAAATGTCAAGTCTTCCTTCACCATTGGTGCCATTACAGTGTGCGTGGATCCTCTAAGCTGCTACATGGAACACAGGTAGATGCTTCTGACCACCTCCAGCCCACAGGATGTACTGTGTTTACACTCATAGTGACTTGCTCCCTGCCCACCAGAGGGCACATCTTTATGCATCCTTGCGTCTACTAAGTGCTCCGTATTCTTTGATTAATTTAAGTCCTCAAAAGACAGAAAGACAGAAAGAAAAGACAGGAACTACAGAATATATATTTAGCTTTTGTGAGGGTAGGAACCTTTCTTTTGTGTGTGTGCCCATGGTACTAGAGATTAAATTTAGGCTCTTCTCATTGAACTATATTTCCAGCTCTTTATTTGTTTTTGTAATCTGAGACAGGGTCCTGCTGAGTTGCTGAGCCAGGTATGACTGGGCTCAAACTTGCTATCCTCCTGCCTCAGTTTCCCAGAGTGCTGGAATTACAAGCATGTGCCATCATGCCAAGCTAGGAACCATTTCTTTTTTTTTTTTAATTTATTTTTTGGTACCAGGGATCGAACTTAGGACCTTGCATTTGCAAGGCAGGCACGGTGCCACTGAGCTAAATCCCCAGCCCCAGGAACCATTTCTGTTTAGTGATTAGTATGTAGTAAGTGCTCACAAAGTATCTGTTGAGGGCTAAGGGTGTAGGCCAGTAGTAAAGGACTTTTCTGACATCTATACAAGGCCTTGGGTTGAATCCCTAGGACTGTAAAAAAGAGAAAGAAAGAAAAGGAAAGGGGAAAGGAATATCTTTTGAATACATGGCTACTCCAACATGTGTGTATTAAGTGTCCTTGATTTTTTTGTTGTTGTTTTTGATTGTTTTTTTTCAACTGTTTGTTTTTTGAGACAGGGTCTCATTATGTAGTTTAGGGTAGCCTCGAACCCAGGCAGTCCTTGTGTCTCCGCCTCCCAAGTGCTGAGATTACAGATGTGTGCCATCATGCCCAGCTAAAGATTTCGGTGGTTTTGTGTTTTGTTTTGTTTTGTCTTTTTTTTGAGACAGGGTCTCACTATATGGTTCAGGCTGCAGGCTGGTCTTGAACTCACTTTTTAGTCCAGGCTGGCCTTGGACAATCCTCCTGCCTTGGTCTCCTGAGTGCTGGAATTACAAGCATGCGCCATCATGCTCAGCAATTTATTTTAAATAAATAAGATGTAAAAAGGACTGAAGATGATTATATAATTTATTTAATTAAAGAAATATAGCTAAAATTATGTAAATATGGTTTATGAAATATAAAAATATAAATAATAGAATCAGGGGTAAGTAGTAAGAAGTATGAGTACATGTATTTCCTCATTTTTCAGATTGAGAGATCAGTAAATCAAAGTTAGTTGCTGAGTATAGTGGCACATGCCTATCATTCCAGCAATCAGGAGTCTAAGCCAAGAGGATCACCGAGAGTTCAAGGCCAGCCTGAACTACATAGTGAGACCCTGTCTCAGAAAAAAAAAATCAGTCAATCAAAGTTAGTGATTTGCTCATGTTTTAGATATTAATGAGAAATTACTTCTGAATTCCTTCCAGAAAGTAACATACTATAGTGATTTACTAATGCTCTGTTGCAAAAAAATGCTTTGTTGCTTAGCTCATGGTGCACATGGTTAGAATAACAATTATGGGAACTGACCAAAAATAAAGTTATTAGCCAAGTATGGTACTGGATTGAACCCAGGGCTTTCAAATTCAGTCACATTTTTGTGGGAAATAGTCACTGACAATTCTCAGATGAATGGCTTTAACATATTTCTTTTTCTCCCCTAGATTTCTCTTCCCGAAATGTCTTGACCAGTGTTCACAAGGTACGAAATGTGCTTTACTTCTTGTCTACCTACATGCCTTTCACATTCTACTCAGATCCAATAGAAAGCAAACAAAATTAGTCCAGGGGAGACTTTGACGTACTATTTCTTTTATCATATTTGGTAGACAGATTTCTTCCAAGAGCTTGTCCTTTTTTTTTTGGTACCAGGGATTGAACTCAGGTCCTTGTGCTTGCGAGGCAGGCAGTGGATCCAAGAGCTTATCTTTTAATGGCAATAAACTGCTACAACAGTACCACTCCTGAGCTCGTCTGCTCCAGCCTTGTAGCAAATAATCAGTGGACTGAGTAGGTATTCCTGTCCGCTCTATCAGCAAACTTTTGATAGACATCTCTTGTGCCAAGAGAGCAGGGTTTGGCCCATCAGGGCCTGTGTTCCTTAATACTCACCCCCTACACACGCTGGAATTTTCCACATCTCTTTGAAAACATTAGAAAAATCCTTCCATCCTGCAGGTTGTATTCAACCTTCCATTACCCTACTACCTAGTAATCCTGGAAGCAGCACTTTCTAGTCATATAATCTGTGATACCAGGAGATCCAGAATAAATTGTAAGTTCCCTGCAGTGGTGATGAAATGCTTATTGTTGTCAGGAGCTAGACCTGGAGGCTGGGCTTCCTGAGGCAGCCCAGCAAATAGAAATCTGATGGAAGAAAACAACTTGTTCTCCTCAGCACAGTTGTGTCCTGTTGATCCCATTGCTAGTCTGCAGGGAGCAGGGACAGCATCAGCAGCATACCAGTTCTGTTGTCTTGAGAAACAGGGTGGGTGCTGACTAGGGCCGGAGGCTGGTCCCCAGGGGGAGAAATACGTATATTGGACTGTTCTACCAGGTAGTAGCTTTTAGAGACCCCTCTTAATTTCCAGATACTGCACCCCAGAAGCAGAGTATGGAGGTTGACTGGGTCTGCCCACAGTGTCACCCAAGTAGAAATGACACTCTCTTTTTTTTAAGAGTAAGAAAAATTTATTGAAAGAAAAATAACTTCTGTCTAAGAGAGACAGAGGGAAACTAGAAGGTGGGTTACCGAGATGATACTCTTAAGGAGACAGTCTTAAGGAGATTTTGTGGAAGTTGGTCAGTACGATCTGGTGGCAGACTAGATGTGGGGCATGAGTTGGAAAAAGAGGTATCTAAGATGACTCCTAGGTTTCCAGCTTTAAAGACTGGGAAGATTGGCAGTACCTGGCCTTGAAATAGAAAGCACAAGAAAATAGGTCTAGGATAAACCAAGGAGGGCTGTCTGATCCTAGGTTACATATTTCGAAATCATGGTCAAAGCCAAGGGCATGGACTATAGTTAACCAATTTCCAGGTGTGGAATTGAAAAGATCAGAAGGCCAGGGATGTGGAGAGAAATGGGAAATCCAGGACACAAAAGAAGAAGGAAAAAGCATTGCTTCACACATCGAAAAAAGAGAAAGATCAGTCAGGTTTAATGCTCCAGAGACCTCAAGGGGAGGAGAGAAGAAAGCCCATTGGCTTTGCAAATATGAAGGACACTAGTGATCTCAACAAGAGTGTTTAAGTGGACAGACAACGGCTAAAGCCAATTCCATGTAGACTAACAGCCAGCCAGTGAGGCACTGGAAGCTAGCAAGTGTGAATGATGTATTAAAGTATTTGGGGCTGTAAAAAAAAAAAGATGATAGCTAGAGGAGGATCCTTCAAGAAGTGTTATTTTACTAGGCATGGTGGTGCACAACTGTAATCCCAGCACTCAGGAGGCTAAGGCAAGAGAATCTCCATGAATTCAAGGCCTGCCTGAACACATAGTGAGACCTTGTCTCAAAAAAACCCATCAAACAAAAAAGAGAATTGTGATTTCTGATTTACTTCTTCCTCCCAATTTGCTGAAGAGAAATCTGTGTCCTGGAAGAAGGAGCCACTAGGCTACATAGAATTGCTTCTTGGCCTTTTGGCTAAAAAGTGTACAATGCTAGGTGGAGGGAGTTCTGGGGGTCCAGAGCCCAGCCTGGGAGTGAAAGTTGACTCAAGAAGTGATATCTTCCAGGGAAGTGAGAAAGTGTTTGCCTGGTTAATGGTGCTGGCCAGTAGTTGTGCCAAGACTTGCTGATCTGTCCTAGGCCCTCCCTCATTCTTCTAAACATGGGTGCCACCTTCTTGTTGGCACTTTCTCCCTCAGTGCCCCTCTATATTTTTGCATGATGGTCAGGCTTCCCTGACAGAGAGCACTTAGAAAATCCCATCTTCATTGTCCATGAACCTACCATAGCCCTGGGCCTGTATCCCAAGAAAGAAGCCCCTGTTAGTATGGCCTAAGGGGTTAGGCCAGTTGTGGCAAACCATGGCACTCATGCTACAGCCAGCTGTTATCATTGGAAGCGCTAAAAGGTTTGCCATCCCTGTGCTTAGGGCAAGATAAGCTTAGCTCTGGCACTTGGGACGCATATTTCATTAACAGCGCCTTCCAACTCATTGTTCAATAGCAACGTGTGTCAAATTCTGGGCTTGTATAAAGCTAGGGATATGAGCAGATGATCTTGAGGCCTTCTGTGCTGTTTTCTAAACTCCAAGAGACTTGTGGAATAACAGTGATTTGGCAAATGTTTTTCTTTTGCATCCGGGCAATGAATCCTATGGACTAGCCTGAATTGGGCATGGTCGGCCGGTCTGGGAAGAAGAGGGATAAAATACTGTTGGTTTCCGTTTTCCTCACTTAGAGAAGAAGATGAGATTTGATGTTTCATTTGGATGTGGGATCTATCACATATCGGTGGACAAATGCTTCATGTTCCAAGGGAGCATATTGCTTCCCTTTGCTTCTGGTCATAAGTCAGTTTCCCTGATTCATTGCTTTTAACAGCAAAGGATTATTTTACAATGAGAAAAGGACTGTGTTGTAACCAAAGATGATGTGTGTGTCTTATAAAAATCCAAAAACATGTTAGCAATTTCAGGGCTTAAACAGCTTGCAGGACTCATTAAAATGCTGGCCTAAAAGCAAAGTGGAGATATTATACTACCATGAACTGCTTTTAGAAGTTCCTAGAGGCCAGGCATGGTGATGCATGCCTGTAATCTCACCACTCGGGAGGCTGAGGCAGGAGAATGGCCACAAGTTTGAGGCTAGCCAGGTCTACATAGCGAGACCCTATCTCAAAAAATAAGTAGCTTCAGGCCCAGGGATTTAGCTCAGTGGTTCCACCACCTGCCTCGAAAGCAGAAGGTCCTGAGTTCTATCTCCAGTACCAAAAAACAAAAACAAAAACAAAACAAAAAAAATAATAAGTAGTTTCTATGGGTAAATGAAGTGACCTTCATTTTCTCTGAGGTTGCTGGAAGCTTTTAGCCCAGTCCAGGACAGTCCAACCATGAGAATGTTTCTTGGCTCAGGAATGGGCCAGGCCAGACTGCCTGCTCACCTAGAGCCTGCTGTGGTGAGGCTGCTGTGGGTGTTCACTCCTTCACACCAAATAGGAGGACGCTGTGGCCCAGACAAGATGCAAGCACTGTCTGTGGCCTGTTTACCCTGTGCACCAGGTCTCTCTGCTCTACCTGCCTCACAGATGGCATTTCCTCTTGGCAAGCAGCAGTTTACGTAGCCGGCCTAAGGAATGCCGGGGTTTGTTTCTCTGTAAAGCGAAGTCTCTTTTCTTTGCCCAGTCGCTGACCTAGAATGCCAACCCTACAGCATTTGTCTATACGGTACATCTGAGGCAGGCACAACTTGGGACAGGATATGTCCTTCAGAGACCTAGAGCTCAGCCTTTTTTTTGGGCTCGCTTGGCTGTGCCTATGACCCTGCTGCCCTGCTCAGCTGAGCACACTTGTGCTAGTCTGGCTCTCCCATTTCTTTTGCCAAAACACAGAGTTGCCAAGCATGGTGGCACAGACCAGTAATTCTAGCACTCAAAAGGCTGAGGCAGGAGGATTGCCATGAGTTTGAGGCCAGCCTGGGCTGCATAGTGAGTTAAGGCCAGCCTGGACTACAGAGTAAGTCCCTGTTTCATAAAAACCAGAAAAAAAGACGACAAAGATACCAGTCCCCACACCTTAATGGTTCTTCACTCAGCCTTTCTTGGCTCCTCACTGCAGGACCCACCACACTATTACTGTTTTCCACCACTGGGAGTCTCCTGGGCCCCTTACAGCTTCCAGCTGCCTTGTCTGCCTTCCCCAACATGGGCTGAGTGTTTGTTCCAGAATCCTGTCTGCTTGCCGGTGGTGCTGCATTTTGGGCATGGTCTTCTGACCTTGCCCTATTTGGTTTCCAGAGGCTCCAGTGACTTCCTGTGGATGCACCAAGGCATGGGATTCTGGAGCCAGGCTCTCTAGGCACCTCCATAGTAGCCTTGCTAACTGGTAGCTGGAGCACAGGTGTCACTAGTGTCACTCATTGAAGGCTTCACTGGCACTGGGAAAGCTTCGGAAAAGAAAGGGTGTGCTGTGAGCCTTTTTAAAATAGAAGAAACAGGGCCGGAGATTTAGCTCAGTGGTTCCACCACCTGTCTCACATGTGCAAGGACCCGAGTTCAATCCCCAGTACCAAAAACTAAACTAAAATAAAATGGAAGAAACAGGCCAGGGATGTAGATCAGCAGCACAGTGCCTGCCTGGCAAGTGCAAGGCCCTCACTTCAATTCCCAGTACCAAAAATGAAAACAAAACAAAAATAGAAGAAACAAGCCGCTGAGGTGTTCACCATTTGAATTCCCTGGCTACTCAATCAACATGAAGACCTACAGGGTAAAGATTTTGAGTGTGGGAGAAGCACTCAAGAAAATGTGATACTGAAGACAGTTTTGCTAGCTGGATATGGTGGTACACGCCTGTAATCCCAGCACTCTCGGAGGCTGAGGCAGGACAATCACAAGTTTGAGGCCAAACGGCGCAATTTAGCAACTTTGTGAGATCTTGTCTCAAAATTAAAAAATAAGTGTGGTGGCACAGGCCTGTAGTCCCAGCACTTGGGAGGCAGGAAGATTTCTGCAAGTTCAAAGCCAGCCTGGGCTA